GCTCATCCGATTCGTAGGACTCCTCCCCTCTGGATATGATGGCCATCGTAAGTTGCAGTTATATGCGATGTAGGGCACGGTATACTACGTATGGCATACCGTATATAACTGCAACTTATGATTTCTGCAGCGCTCTCGTCACTTCATAGACAAGCCGCGAAATTGGAATAGTTTTTGGGCGCAGTTTGCCGGGGGGGGGCATTTTGCACTTTCGTTGCTTCACTAGTTCTGGTTTACAAGTCTCACTCTGGTGAAACCTGTGAACTCTTGTGAAGCTGGAGCAAGCTCGTCAAGCCATCATGGTAAAACCTGTCAACTCGAGAAGAGGCTGTCTAGATGGGTCGACACGTCGATGGGAAGTCGTTAAAGTGCAAAATGCCCCCCCCGTCGCCAAACAGCGCCCAGTTTTTGTGTTTACACCCGGTCTACGTTGGCAAGGAAGGAATCCCACGAAATGGTTGATCGCGGTGTTTGCATTTAAGGCATCCTTGCTCGTCTCCCCATCATCCCGGAAAGGCCCTCGGCAGAAGTGTCGTGTTTTAGTTACCCCAGGTCTTCGTGGATATATCTGAGAAAATGTAGCTTATAGAGGATGAGGAGATAATCGGCGTGTTACGCTGGAATGGTCTCGGACTAGACCTCGTGTTAGAGGCCCCAGTGGAAGCAAGGCATCAGCGCTGGGAAAATTTCTGATGAGTACGATTCCTCCCCATATTTCTCCAGCAGGATCGTTCGCAATCGAGCGGCATCATACCAAGTTTCCCTGAAATCTGTTTTCCGGGCAACAACCTTCCCGTCCAGTGACTATACCACCCAATTTTAAGCGTTCCACGCGCCCTTAGTTGGAGCGGAGGGGGGAGGGTTTGGACGAAGTAGAATTTTCCTCATCGCCATGCATCTTGTATTCGATTCTCCACGTCTGAGGTAATAGTCAGCACGGCGTTAGGGGACGTAGGATCACTAAGGGAATGTGGTCGCAAATGGGATGACGTCATGCACAACTCCACTGCTTTCCTCTAGATTCTTGATAGAATTATCAATGGTCACGGGCAGGGCACATCGTTGTTGGGGAATCCCCAATAGGGGGTCGTATTTGGCCGCCAGGAGGGGGGTCGTATTTGGGCTGGGAAAAATTTATTTTGATAGTTGATTTTTCTCGCTTCATGGACGTTGTGGGAGGGGGTCGTATTTGATCATTTTTGGGAGGGGGGTCGTATTTACGTTTTGGCGTTGTAGGAGTGGTGGTTGACTTTTGGTGATTTTCCTGTTTCATGCGTACTATATGCCCCCGCTCGACAGCAAAATTTTTGGGGAAAAGTAGGGAAGTTTCGG